AATGTTTCTGTTCCAAGGCAAACTGCCGGAAACAGCCATTTTAGGATAGTTTGTGGCTTGGTCTTAGTGACTTAGGACTCCTCTTCACTGCTCCTAACCTTTCACAGATTTAGGAGCTGGTTTTAGAGCTAAACACTGAGGAATACTCTCACAAAAATGTCGCAAAAGTGTAGGAGTCCTAAATTTATTACTGACACGCCCATTATTTTTAAGATTTTCTCCTAAATCGGCGAGTTATGAGCTACTTTTAGCCTTCAAATGTTTTGTGAATACGGGCCCTGGCATACAGCTTTAAGAGGTGGTGCCAACAGCACACGGAGGGCTCATTTCAGCGTCTGACGCGTGCGTGTCAGTTGGCTCGATGGGTGCTCCCTCCAGCCGACGGACCAAAGCTATTATTTTAACACTTTAGTGTGTTTGTATGTTTTCTTAAAAAATGTCATTGCAATCTATGAGAGAAATGGAGCATAGGGTGCCCTCCCCGTTATTTTTGAGGATCTTGATTTGTATTTTGTATAAGATGAGTAGTGAGGAAAACCCCTGTTTTTTTCTTTGGCTCATTGGTTATGAAATTCATATTGATTTTGTTTTCAGTGTTTTTTTTGTCATGTTGGCCTTTGGGCCACCCTGAAATCCTTGCTCCAAATTTCCCTATTACTTTTAATAAACATCTTGAACCCTCAATCCCTTAGATAGAGTGTAACAAATGGGGAATTGTTTGTCTATGTGAGTTTTGATTATTTATTTAAGTGAGTATTAATTTATCTTCTGATTGGCAGTTGTTGTTTTTTTATGTGGGTTAGGAAAAGCATTTGATAATGGAGTTCAGTATTTAAATGTTTAAATATGCACCTTCTTTTTAAGCTTTGGATTTATGTCGTACGGTTGGTATATTTAACTGCTGGTTTTCGCAAAATAACAGTTTTAACATCTGCTCCTAAGAAGGAAATATTGGATGTGGTGCAAGCCATGTTAGTTAAGCAAGGCATTCTACCTATCCAAAAATCTGAGCTTGAGCAAAAGGAAGTTATTTTTTTTTTCTCGCTCCGTTTCTTTTTTCTCTCGCACCGTTCCACTCATTCTCTACTATAGGAGAGGAAGAATTGTATAAACTTGTTAAATCATCAAGGTTAGATTATTGTAACGTTTTATTGGGTGGTTGCTCTGCACGCTTAACCTGTTAACCTGCACCCCCCATTTTGGGACTCAGATGAAAATGACCTACCTAACTTAAAATGGTAACAGTTCTCGACAACTTTGGTGTCTTTGAAAAAAAGACCCTTTGGGCTTTACTATTCATCATCCAGAGTTCAAAAAGAAAAAAAGTTATAGACACTGAAGTGCCTTGAAAAAAATTGTACCACACTGAATTTTTTTTTTATTTCATAAAAAAAAATGAAATAAAAAAATGAATATATAGTTGTAATTTATGTTTCTGTATTTATGTTCTTAACATATTAAGTTTTTTTTTTCTTTTCGCATTTGTGATTTCTTGCGGTTGCTAACACTGTCTTGGTAGCTATACTCATTCCATTTTTAGGTTATGTAAGGTTTTTATTTACTCTTGGATAGTTACATCAGTTAAGTTTTATCACTGTAAGTTAGTACTGAATTCCAGTGGTGTAAAGTAACGAATTGCAAATACTCTCGTTACTGTAATTGTGTAGTTTTTCTCAGGAATTGTACTTTATTAAGTAGTTTAAAAACAGTGTAGTTTTACTTTTACTTGAGTACATTTTTAGTGCTGTATCGGTACTTTTACTGCGCTATTTTTCCTCAACCTGCCAACGCTACTTTATATGTTTATTTTTTTCCTGTAAACGGCGATTGGCATTTGTATGGTTTTGTAATATCTGTCTCACATATTTCCTTGTGTGGTAGATCTGACTCTTATTATAGAATTGCATTACAGAAAAACTGTTTTGAACGTGGTAATTACATTTTAATTAATTTAGTTTTTTATAACCATTTCTTACTATGTGTCAGTAAGTTGTTGTTATTTTAGCATGTGTGTTTGGCTCAGTGTTATTTTTTTAGGATTACTGATGAACTAATGTACTTTGATTTGTATTAGTTATCTATTTTAGTTTTAGTTACAGTTGTAGTAATGTTGTCATTTTATTAGTTTTTTATTATGTCTATATAGGCTTTTTAAGTTTTACTTTTATTTAATTTGAGTTATTTCAGTACTTCAACAAATACAAATGGAAATGAAATAATATATATATATATATTTAGTTTTAGTTACAGTTGTAGTAATGTTGTCATTTTATTAGTTTTTTATTATGTCTATATAGGTTTTTTATTAAGTTTTAGTTTTATTTAATTTGAGTTATTTCAGTACTTCAACATACAAAATGGTTGCTGGTTACTGTATGATGACTGAAATGGCCTTATTAGTAAATGCACTGCAGAAAGTTAACACCTGCACGAATGGCATGTATTCTGTCAACGCTGCATGAGCTCGAGGTGCCAACTGCTGGACACCCTTAGCTTGTTAGCCAGGGTTCAAAGTGCAGTAAGCATTAAAGGCAGGATAGGTGATTTGGTTCAAAAACACTTTTGTTATGCTGGTTGAAAGTCTCTAAACATCCCGATAGCAATCACTAAGACTAAAAAGTTAAGTGGTCGAAATATTTTTATGTATTTATATCACCTGTGGAAGGCTGATTGGAGGAACATAAAATGTTCCTCCAATCAAAATGTTCAGTCCGAAGATGATGATAGGCTGTCTTGCCTGCCTGTCATAGTATGTATTTGCATACATACGTCATCAGCACGTTCCAGCCAGTGAAAGCAAAGACTATAGAATACCCCTAGCCTAAAATAATAGAATAGAATAGCCTTAAAGGGACTTTGATGAAAGACGTTATTATTGTAATATTATGTGCTTTGTACTGTAATGTTTTCACTGGTCAATGAAATCATGTTTTTAAATCATGTTTATTTTTTTAAATGATGCAAGCAAAAATTTTTATTAGTGGTTACAGTTGTGAGTTACTCAGTTTTGATGTGTATTCTTCTTACAGAGAAAGCATCCATCGAAATTAAAGCAGTACAATGAATGCGTCTTGAAAAGAAAAGAACAGAGGTGTGATTCAGCTGTGAAACAGATGAAGATTAAGTCAAGTCAAGTCAAGTCACCTTTATTTATATAGCGCTTTTAACAATACAGATTGTGTCAAAGCAACTGAACAGCATTAATTAGGAAAATAGTGTGTCAATAATGCAAAGTGACAATAGTAAACACTAATTTTTCAGTTAAAGGCAGTTCATCATTGATGCATTCCGCTAGTTTTTCAAATTGGTATGTTTCGCCGGGCTGCGAAGAAATATAGAGCTGAGTATCATCAGCATAACAGTGAAAGCTAACACCGTGTTTCCTGATGATATCTCCCAAGGGTAACATGTAAAGCGTGAAGAGTAATGGCCCTAGTACTGAACCTTGAGGTACTCAAGATTAAAGACTACTCCACATCATGCAGGCAGGTTACTCCGTCCACATTTGACAGGCTTGTGGTTGAGTTAGTTTGTGAAAGTCTCCAGCCCTTTGCCATAGTTGAACTTCCAACATTCAAAAATCTAATCCATACAATGCAACCTAGCTGTACAGCTATGTCCAGACCAACCTGAAGCTGAGAATCGTGGACGCAGCCGCAGAGATAAAAAAAACATCACTGCTGAGAAGTCAGCTATATAGGTAGCACTACTGATTGTTGGACAGCACGACAACGGAGTTACATCGGTGTAACTGCACACTGGATCGATGAATCTTCACTGGAAAGAAGGTCTGCTTCCATTGCCTTTAGACGCTTGAAAGGATCACATACGTTTGATTTGCTTGCAGGGACCCTGGATGACATCCACTCGGAATATGGCATCTCAGAAAAAATAGTCAGAACAACTGATAGTGGATCAAATTTTATTAAAGCATTTAAGGTGTATGGCGAACCGAGTCAGCAAGAATTGATTGGTGCGGACTCTGCTGAGGCAGTACACTGGAGAGTGAGGAAGATGCGGAAGGTGTTGAGGTTCAGGACACCTGTTCTACTTTGAACACAAACAGTGGGTTGGAGTATCATCTACCCAAGCATCAGCGTTGTGCGTGTGCAGTGTTGGGAGTAACGCATTACAAAAGTAATAATATTACAGTAGTATATTACTTTTTGCTGTAACACAGTAATATAACGCATTACTAATCAAATTTGGGTAATATTATTACTCGTTACAATCTCAGTAATGCAAGTTATAACAACATATTTTAACTCTAAATTTGTTATGTTCAGTTCATCGGAGAAAAGGATAAGAATGCATGGTGCAATATGTGCGAAACCAAACTCTCAACATGGAGAAATAGCACGAGTAAAACCTGGAAACACCTGGACTGGTGCCACTAACACTAGCTATTGGAGAGAGCTGCGGGGTCGGAGAAGAGAAAAAATACGAAAGACGAGCGCAGAATTAGCTAAATATTTGATTTAGCCTAATTAACAGATTAACAAAATGAAAGGAAAAGACTGAGACATGCTGAGTTTGGTTCATAGGCTATTTGTGTGGCGCGGCGCTCTACGAAAGTCCACGGAAAGGAAACCGAGATGA